TTAGGCGTGATCGGTTGTTGGAGTAACAGTTGTACATTGCCCATTTTCCTCCCAGAGTGTATATATTGATATTGTCATCCAAGTGTCCCTAGTGATGGTGTAAATGCTGAAAATGAACCCATTAGGGTTCACAAAGCTTATTTGGACTCAGGCCAAACTGGGAGCGCAATGATTGGAATTGTACTACCTTGAGGGTATGGTTGGAGCGCTGTCAGGAGTTTACAGATACAAGTAACTATAGGATGTAGTCTAGGGTACTCCAGCAATAGTATCTGGAGTTGAAGGTTGTAAAACTAAGACGAATATGTATATATCCAGTAGTTTGCGACAAAATGTCACAGAGAAGCAGCGAAGAATCCGGAGTGCACAAATGCGCGGTCAGCAAGCTCGTTCTTTCAAGTTCACGTCCCGACGTAGGCTAGACAAGGGGGACAGTGACTGTTTGTCTTTACTGTGTGCCACTCATGATTTGGCAATCGCAAACACAGTTCCTACTTGGTGCCCGTTATGTTCCTATTTAGGTACATCCACAAAGAGGTTATGCTCAACTATGTCATTGAATACCAGCATGTTGCGTGTTCTGAGTGGAGCTGAATGTTTAACTGATCACAAACTGGGGCGCAACTGTTTTGGTCTTTGGGTGGCCCGAGTGAGATGATTTCCCACAGGCTCCTAACCGATGCGCCGTGACATGGCAGAGTAAGTGACACTGGACGAGTATAATATATTACCGAATTGAAGGCCATACTGGAAAAATGCCTCAGACAAGAACGTGAAAACCAAAGGCACAAACCGCCAAAGTTGACCGTTGAAACGTATGCGATTTTATGAGAAGCGAGTTCTTCACAAGTATTACATGTTTTGTGAGCCAGACGACAATAACAATGTTCAGTTTTACAAAACAAACACAAGCTTCATGAATTTGATGAAAACATGGCAACTCAATGCATAAGCACCTGTAGTCAGTTGCGCACTTGATCCAGAAAATGGTGTTAAATCGCTTTTTGTTGCATAGTGACAAGATCGAACATAGTTGCATGGCTTCATCTGGCTTCGGTCTCCAATCTTTGGATTTTATTCGGGCTAGGTTGGCTTTAAACGCTAACAGCAATGCACTGTACATATATCTTCATGGATACATTTACTGTGTCTCTG